ATTTATAGTAAATTAACAAAAAAATCTAGCATTTTATATGATAAATATCATAAATTATGTGAAAATAATTTTACATTATTAAATATATTAATTTAAATATCAATTAAATCCTTTATATGTAAGAAATATCGAACTAAATGAAATATTCATACATAAATCGGTTTCAATTAGTATAACAATCGTAATAAATACACAAATGGCTGAGTGTCTGGTGGCCCAAACAAGCATATATGGACCGATACCGGTCTGTATATATCAAGGCCAGCAAAGCCGGCTACAAAATACCCACAGCCAGCTTAGTAAAAAAAATAGAATGTTCGAAGCAGTCCAGCACAAGTCAGCTTTCATTTCCCAATTGGCTCACTTGATTCAAATAAGTTTATATGGACCGATACCAGTTCGTATATAACCTGTAAAAAATCAAGTCAAGTTAAAGCCGGCTGCAGAATTTTAATAGCCGGCTCATTCCAAAAAAACAGAATGTTCGAGGCAGTGCAGCACCAGCCAATTTTCATTCCCCAGCCGGCTCAACCCAAACTAATATATACGGACCAATATCGGTCTGTATGTATCATATATCACTGTTAATATATACGGACCGGTATCGGTCCGTATATACATGGAGACCCAACACAGAGCCTCACTAGTATATACGGACCGTTACTGATCCGTATATATCTTCGTTAATATATAAAGACATATTTACAGACTGATACCGGTCCGTATATCGTTATACGAATCGGTTTTGGTCCCAATAGATACCCACCAATAGCTTTTTCATTGTTTTCCTTATCTCATGCTCAATTCGTTATACTCTCTTTTTCAACCATAACATTCCGAATGTTGCATGCCAAAGTGGTTATCCTTACCTCAAAAAATCAATTTTACTTGCTTGTGGCTCCGAAAAAACATTACGTAACCTTATATCTAATAACCTTATACTTATACATTCAAGGTTTTACAATGATTTTATCTCGCGCCATCGTTAGATAATTTCAGGAATGGAATCGATGGTTCTGGGGTTCCAGGAGACTGTAGTGTCTATGCTCATGCAATTGGTTTTTGTAAGAACGGATTTAGGGCACGGGAAGATAGTGATGTCCTTAAATGAAAAGAATAAAAAGGTGCACATGGAGAAGTTTTTGGATTTTTTGCAACATATTCGGACCAAAAATGGTCTAAAAAATCAAAAGCATGGAAGCTTCTAGATTTTATGCCTATATTCCGACCAAAACCGGTCCATATATCTTTACATCGAATTTAATTTATCTTTATAATTAAAAAAACTATGACAGACATATATACGGACCGATACCGATCCGTATATCGTTATATGGACCAATTTTGGTTCCAATCTGTACCCACCTGCAACTTTTTCATTGTTTTCCTTATCTCATGCTCAATTCGTTATACTCTCATTTTTAACCATAACATTCCAAATGTTTGCATGCCAAAGTGGTTAACCTTACATAAAAAAATCAATTTTACTTGCTTGTAGCTCCGAAAGAACATTATGTAACCTTATATCTAATAACCTTATACTTATACATTCAAGGTTTTACAATGATTTTATCCTGCACCATCGTTAGATAATTTCAGGAATGGAATCAATGGTTTTGGGGTTCCAAGAGACTATAGTGTCTAAGCTCACGCAATTGATTTTCGTAAGAACAGATTTGGGGCACAGGAAGATGGTGATGTCCTTAAATGAAAAGAATAAAAAGGTGCACAGGGAGAAGTTTCTGGATTTTTTGCAACATATTCAGACAAAAAATGGTCTAAAAAATCAAAAGTGTGGAAGCTTCTAGATTCTGTGCCTATATTCCGACCAATACTAGTCCATATATATCTTTACACCGAATTTAATTTATCTTTGTAATTAAAAAAACCATGATAGACATATATACGGACTGATGCCGGTCCGTATATCGTTATACGGATTGATTTTGGTCCCAATATATGCCCACTTGCAGCTTTTTCATTGTTTTCCTTATCTCATGCTCAATTCGTTATACTCTCATTTTCAACCATAACATTCCGAAATGTTTGCATGCCAAAGTGGTTAACCTTACCCAAAAAAATCACTTTTACTTGCTTGTGGCTCCGAAAGAACATTACGTAACCTTATATCTAATAACCTTATAATTATACATTCAAGGTTTTACAACGATTCTATCCCGCACCATCGTTAGATAATTTTAGGCAGGGAATCGATGGTTTCGGGGTTCTAGGAGACTGTAGTGTTGATGTTCACGCAATTGGTTTTTGTAAGAACGGATTTGGGGCATGGGAAGATGGTGATGTCCTTAAATAAAAAGAATAAAAAGGTGCACAAGGAGAAGTTTTTGGATTTTTTGCAATATATTCATACCAGCAACGGTCTGAAAAAGTGTGAGAGGCATATAATACACTTAATTTAATTCATCTTTATAATTAACAAAGGTTTATTTTATATATATAAACCGATACCGGTCAGAATATAACCAATAACTGTTTCAATGGTTTCGCCTCTAGAAAATTTCATCGAAAATTAAACTTTTTAGGATTGGCGCTTAATTATTTATTTACGGATCGTTTTCGGTCCATATATTTTCCCGCCAAAATTTCGCTATAAATTAAACTTTTTTGGTAATTAGCGGACCGATGTCGGTTTGAAAATGCTTGCCGCCTAAATTTTCAACAAAATTGAAGCTCTCCGCTGGGTGGTAATACTGCGCTTATTTGGTATATTCGGACCAGTTTCGGTCCGTATAAAACCTATATATAACCAACTCCCTCTCATTCCTTTCCTCATTTTCTCTTCTTCTTCTCTTTCTTTTTCTTCTTCATCTCCTCCGTTTCTGGGTATTCTTTCCTCTTCTTTCTCATTTCCTTTCTCTATTCCTTTTACTCTTTCTCCTTTTTTCTTACTCTTGCCCTCTCTTTCCTTTCTTCTTTCTCTACACTTCTTAATATTCTTTTGATTTTTCTTACTCCTCTTACTCTTCCCCATTCTTTCACTTTTTTTTTCCTTTAATTTTTCTGTTTTTTCCAATCTTTTCTATTCCACTCTCCTTTTTTTCTTTTTTTTTTCCATAATATGCTTTATAAAGTTTTTCATTTTGGTACATTTTTATTATTTATATTTTGTTTACTAACTTTTTTTTTGTAGGTTTCATATTATAAGAATTTGATTAATTTTCTCTTATATA